TCTTCTTATTCTACAGATGAGGAAACTGAGCTCCAGAGAGGTTAAGTGATTTCTCTGATGACAAGCAGCTTGTCCATAATAAAGCCAAGAGCTGAATCCAGGCAGCGAAGTGTGACTGCACTTGTAACACGACTCCATACTGTCACTGAGCCAAAGAGAATTAAATCTCTAATGAAGGCTCCAAGTCTGCACTGCCAGTCCGAATTTACACATTGTGCCTGAACAGTATGGGGCGTGCAATTTGGGGATGAAATTTTTTCCTCATAGACATGACCCTTCACACACAGTGAAAATCAGAACTGAATAACCTCAAACCTTAGGTAGATGAGCTGCCCTGAGAGAGGGAGAGAGACAGAGACACAAGACAGTTCTTTTCCTTTAATACATTTCCGTGTGCTACAGTGACGAGTGAATCCATGGTTTGCCACTTAAAAATATACACTGAGCACCTACAGATTGGTGTTAAAATACATTGGCCCCAGATTCATTTTCCTTCTCAAAAATTTTCTATTAAAGAGTTTGACCACACGGTGAGCTCAGACAGCAAGGGGTGTGCCTGGAGCTCCCAGTGCACAGAAGGCTAGAAAATAATTAGAAATCAGAATGTACTCTAATTCAAAATCAAAAGGCATCTCCCATCTATGCCCTTGTGAAAATCGTGTGAGCTGACCAATTAATGAGCCAGTTGCCCCAGGGTGAGGTCTGCCCTTGTGTAATTACCAAGAAATGAGAGCGACTTCGGTGGGTCCTCTGGATGAGCAAAAGCTAGTGATTTCTGGCCATAAGTGGAGTCATTAAGGATGTAAGAGCCTGAATGCACTGGGGCCACGGCAGGAACAGCCCAGGCTTTTGGGTCTGGAAGTCTCCAGCTCCAGGACAAGTAGGCAGAGAGGAGATACAGAGCGATCTCCCCTCCAGGCAGGGAAAGGAGATGACGATCTCTTTCTTATTGAACGCTCACCATGTGCCAGCCCCAGGCCCAGGCATTTTATATATATTGTCTTGCTTAATGTCAGAATAGTCCATGGGCTTTTCTACTTGGACAGGGTGATGCGTCCATGGTCCAGCCTTGCCGTACGGAATGACACAGGCATGACCACCATTACTGCGGCTCTCAGCCGGCCACGTGCAAGTGACACAGACAAGATCATCCAAAAGCAAAAAGGAAACTCACTACCTCAACATTTGGCCTGTTAACCTTATAGTCTTTTTTCTCTATAAATACTTTGTGTTCATTTACCAACATGGGCTTACGCTACATGTGTTGTTTCATGCCCACTTTTTAACTCAGACACTATTACACTGTCATTCCATATTTCTGTCCAATCTCACTCCAGCAGTTAGAAAGCACGTGGCTGGAGGGACTCTCATCAATCCTTTTTTTTTTTTTAAGATTTTATTTATTTATTTGAGAGAGAGAGAAAGAGAGAGAGCACGAGAGGGAAGAGGGTCAGAGGGAGAAGCAGACTCCCTGCTGAGCAGGGAGCCCGATGTGGGACTCGATTTGGGACTCGATCCCGGGCCTCCAGGATCATGACCTGAGCCGAAGGCAGTCGCTTAACCAACTGAGCCACCCAGGCGCCCCTCATCAATCCTTTTTATCAACCCCGACTTGTAGGATATCGAGGTTACCTTCAAGGCCCCGCATTTTTAAACAGCATTCTGCTGAATATTCTTGTAGACCGAGTACTACAAAAATGATCCAATTTTTTTTAAAGGTAAATTTCTAGCATGGAAATTGCCGGGTAAAAGGATATAGACATTTTTAAAATCCAGTTTATTGAGGCATAATTCACCTACAGCAGAACTGGGCCTTTTTGCGTGTACCCTTCCTTGAATTTTGGTGAATGGCATCGGTCACGTAACCACCACCACCATGAAGTTCTAGAACACTTATTAGTAACTTAAAGCTTTTGATGCATGTTATCAAATTGTCCGCTAGTAAAATTATACCTATTCCCACCTTCTGTCAGCCCATGAAAAGTGAGCATTGGATATTATTCTTTTTAAAAAAAAAATTAAGATTTTCCAATTTGGTAGGTGAATGTTTCCATCTCGTTTCGTTACATTTATTTGTTTACTAATGAGGTAATGTATTTTTTCATGTTTATTCTCTATTTTTATGTCTTATAGTGTGAATTCACGTTTATATCCTTGGCTTATATGTCTAGCCAACTATTTATCCACTCTTTCTTACTGATTTGTAAGAGCTATTGGGGGCCAGTAATGGAAGAAGTGATTTGTCGTGTTGCAAATGTTTTCTCTTGCTGTTTATCCCGTCTATTGTTGTTTATAGCTATTTTTTCCCCTCAGTAATGTTTCCATAATCTCTCCACCTTTGCCTTATAAATTGGAAAGTGATCTTCATAAAGGCCTTTCCCACTCTATGATTATTTAAATGTTTGCCAATTTCCTAGGAAAGAAATTGACGTAACAGTAGAGTAAGAAAAAAGATGAAAGGTAGCATATTTAATCTTTAAAGCATCAGGAATTTATTTTCACATATTACACAGCGTAAGCTTTATTTCTCCCCCAAACGATGAGCCGATTGTACCAACCCCATTTATCCAATAATAGATCTTTTCCTAATTGGAGAAGTCACTGTTGGTATACATTATATGTGGCATGTACTCAGATCCGTGTGAACTTTCCATTCTCAGCTACAAAATGTGTTATCTTTTTTTGGGGGGGGGGAAGAGTAGGTGCTGTTTCCCACAGTTTCAAATACTGTAGTTTTATAATATGTTTTAGTATCTCACATGCCAAGCACTGTTTCTCATTACTGTCCTTGTTCAAAATGTTCTCTCGGGCTCTCATGATTCCAAACTTAAAACCATATCTGGGTTTAAATATCCAATAGGAATTTTTGTTGAAATTTCATCATAGATGAACTTGAGAAGAACTTGCATCTTTATAATAAGCAGTCTTCTCTCCAAGGATCATGCTACATCACTCCACATGTTCAAGTTTTCACTTACATTTCTCAGTAAAATTTTACATGTTTAAAAAACGGGCTCTGCAGGGTTTGTGTATGTATTTATCCCAGGAATCATGGGGGGTTTTGTTGCCATTATTCACAGCATCTGTCTTTTCACTATACTTTCTAACTTGTGGCTCTGATTTATAGCATCCTATGTATTAATTTTATAAAAAGCTAGTTTAATGAAAACTAGTTACTATCGTATTTTTGTTTTTTCCCCTCAGTGTTCCCAGGAGACAGTGAGGTTATTTGTAAATACTAACAATTTGGGCACCTGGGTGGCTCAGTTGGTTAAGCGTCTGCCTTCGGCTCAGGTCATGATCCCAGCTTCCTGGGATCAAGCCCCACATGGGGCTCCCTGCTCAGCAGGGAGCCTGCTTCTCCCTCACCTTCTGCTTGCTGCTTTGCCTACTTGTGCTCTCCGCTCCGCCCCCCCCCCCGTCAAATAAATAAATAAAATCTTTAAAATAAATAAATACTAACAATTTTACCTTTTACATTACATTTTAGTTACATATTAACATGTTAATTTTAAGGAATCAGAAGCGGAGGCACCTGGCTGGCTCAAGTCGGTAGAGCATGCAATTCTTGATCTTAGGGTTGTGAGTTCAAGCCCCATGCTGGGTATAAAGGTTACTTAAAAATAAAATCTTAAAAAAAAAATCAGAAGTGAGTTTTAATACAGTACCTTATGATGAGCTATCCTTGCAATTTTGGAATAAACTGTCTTTGGTGATAGTGTATTATTCTCTTAGCATTTTACTCCGTATTTTATTTGAAATATTTATATCTGTAATCGTTTTTTTTTTTAAATTTTTTTTTTTTTTATTTGAGAGAGCGAGAATGAGAGATAGAGAGCACGAGAGGGAAGAGGGTCAGAGGGAGAAGCAGACTCCCTGCTGAGCAGGGAGCCCGATGTGGGACTCGATCCCGGGACTCCAGGATCATGACCTGAGCCGAAGGCAGTCGCTCAACCAACTGAGCCACCCAGGCGCCCTGTAATCGTTTGGTTTTTTTTTTAAAGATTTTATTTATTTATTTGACAGAGAGAGAAAGGGAGCATAAGCAGGGGGAGCAGTAGAAGGAGAGGGAGAAGCAGACTCCCGCCGAGCAGGGAGCCCGATGCGGGGCTCGATCCCAGGACCCTGGGATCATGACCTGAGCCGAAGGCAGACCCTTAACCATCTGAGCCTCCCAGGCACCCCTATATCTGTAATCATTAACTTCAGTTTTCTTTAACACGTAATCTTTGCCAAGTTACGATATTAGGGTTGGGTTGTTCTCATGCTGTAAAACTGAGAACCTTGCAATTTCTTCTATAATTTGGGACCATTTAATTGGCATAAGCATGCCTTGCTTCCTAAGTGGACTTACTCACTTGTATCATCTGCTCAAAGGCTTTTGGAAAAGCCACCAGCGAAAGCATTTGCTTAAAGCGCTCTTTCTCGCTCAGTATTCAGAATTTGTATTAAAATTCCCAAGTTTATTCAACAGTTTTGCATGTCAGCGAAACGCTAATACATCTGTTTTCTTAGAATAGGACAAATTGTAAAATAAAGATGAAAACAAATTCTCCAACACCACATTTCCATCGTTTCTCTGGATTCCATTAGCCCTTGGCAAACATTTACGCTTACATAAAGTTTATTGCTTCCAGTATGGTGTTCAAAAAACTGACTCATCCCTTTTCAGAGACTACAGAAATTTCCACCCTCAATGTCCTAGGAAAGAAATGGATGTAAAAGGTAGAGTAAGAAAAAAGATGAAACATAGAGTATCAATTAGTTTCCCTTGAGCACAGCCTGCACACAGGCGAGGACAGTAATGTGCTTCAGAGAAGTATAAACAGTCTTACATTCTTATCAAGGCTTCCATCCGAGGCCGGGGACCTGCCCTCTTTGGGACGGCTTCCACCCATGAGGAAAGGATAATGCCATGTAAATTTCAGGACAGCCCCATGGTCTTCAGCCCACTTAGTTAATGCAACAACGGTAACAGCGCTTTGTTTTCCTTTATGCAGGACGTCTGCGTCAAGGCTTACCTAGCCCTTCGTCACCACACAAACCTGCTGATCATCCTGTTCTCCATGATGCTGATGACGGGAATGCCCCAGTTAACAAGCAAAGAAGATATCGAATATATTCGGGATGCCCTAACAGTGGGGAAGAATGAGGAGGAAGCTAAGAAGTATTTCCTTGATCAGATTGAAGTTTGCAGGGACAAAGGATGGACGGTGCAGTTTAACTGGTTCCTGCACCTTGTTCTGGGCATCAAACAAGGAGAGAAACATTCAGCCTAATTCTCCGGGCTAGAATGCAAAACCCGTTCGTGTCCTAAAGCTTTAAGTCAGCATGTCCGTCATCGGACTCGGATCTAAAATGTAACAGGACATCATGAAGGCTGGCACCTGAGAAAGACAGCCCTGTTCCTGGCTGAACTCTTCACAGGAAGAAAACATTGGCATGTCAGATTGTCTCAGGCACGTTCGGTTTTAGGCTTACGCGCAGGTTTCTTTTTTTCTCATTCGCCTCGGTGATGTTGGAGAACATTCTTAGTTTAAACACATTACTTCCTCATTGTGCCTGCTGATTTGACTACCTTATTATTGAGTGCTTCTTGAGAGTAATTGGTGACATCTCTTTTCATGTGGGTTTACTCTCAATTTTGGTTATTCTTGTGTTCCTCACGCCCTTGAGAGAAAAAGATGTCATCACCATAACCTTTCTGTCATTCCCCAAAGGACACTTCCAAACATCCCCTTCCATGTCTGGAGAGGTTAGCGATTTGCTAAACGCAAAAGGAAGGAGACTTAGCCTTTCCATTGTCTTTTGTAATTAGGGTCTTTTACAGTATACAACTGAGATGCACAAACACACTGGAAAACCCGAACCTTTGTATCCTGACCCTTCCCTGCTGGTCTGGCTGCAGGGTTACAAAGAGGAATAGCAGAGATGAAACCATTCGTCTCAACTCTGCCCAAGAGTAAATGTCAAGTACAGTTACCCCAGCCTTCGCTACTATGGAAACAGGAGGAAACTAAAGGGACTTTTTTGTTTGTTTGTTTGTTTGTTTTACATTTTTATCTTCCTCCCTGCCTCCCCCCTTCTTCCTTAATGGCTAACCCTCCCACAACTTTTTATCCAAGTTGTGAAATCCTCAAGAACACATCGACCCTAGAATTCAAACAGCAGTTGAAAAACAATTTCTCCTCTAGGGTTACTGGAATTTTAGGTACTTATTTGTAAAAATGTTTGGTGGAGTTTTTTTTTTTTAAGTGTATTATTAAAGAGGACATTCTAGGAAATATGGATTTGTTTCCAAATGCCTTAATTTTAAATTTTAGCCTAAGCAGTTTTTTCTTTCTTTTTCAATGGAAGAAGGTCTTTGAGATCTAAATAGTACTTCAAGTTAGGAAGAACACTACGTGCCCTAGCCATCTCTCAGTTTTAAAGGACTTTGAAACTCTGACATATTCTTCAGATTTCCTAGAAATTGAAATGTCTTCTTCAAAAACTATTTTCATCTCCTAAATATTCTGCTATTTATTGGAAGCATTGTTTAACCGTAGAGAAAGATTGTTACATTATTTATAAAGTATTTTAAAATTACGTATAGTTACTACTTTACCTAGAAATAACTCTGTTAACAGTGTCTACGTTTAAACATAATCAGATATAAATAGATATTTAACTTAAAATTTTTCTAAATAGATACCTGTTTAATTTCGGTGTAGCCCAAACCCTTCATTTTGTATATGCAAAAACCCTTTGATGGTATAGATAACACTGCTTCCTTGCCCACTGAGCCTTTCCCCTGGCTCATAAGGGGTCTAGAAAGAACTCTTCCTTGACAACTTGTCCTTTTAAAATCACACTCTGTCCCCCTGTAGAGAGGACCATGCCCTGTACTGAAATGTTTAATCCTCTGTCCTAATGGAAGGTAGATATTTTATGGCATTTTTACAACAACTATTCCCCACCATTCTTTTGAAGAAGAATAGGAAGAATGATGCTTTTTAATTCAGAAGAGGATGTATTCATTATTCTTATAAAGAGCAGCGGAGCGTGGCCTTGCACAGATTTGAATTGCTGAAATCATCTTTGATAGAAGAATTACAGAGCAATGTATTTATATTTAGCTTATTGGCACATGGGCATACCTATTTTCTCTTCAAACAAACAGGTTCTTAGGCTGGTACACATCACATTGTGCTTCATTCCCCCATATTTCACTGAAGGTAGAACATTAACTCTTCAGATTTGCCTACAAAAATCACCTTTGTGTGTTTCCTTCCTTTATTTCTCCCAGGGAATCACGTGACCCACAACTTTTAGATCTTTGAAAACGTTCTAGAACCAGGGTCATCTCACCCTGGGAGGAGATTTCGGGGAACTATCCACAACTCAGTCTTCACTGTCAGATGAAAACAGAGATTACAAGTCAGATGATTCAGGTCAAAGCAGATTTTGTGTGTGTCCAGTACCAGCTACATAATTTGCAGAGTCCAATGCAAAATGGAAATGTGGGGGCCTGCCATTCAAAAATTAAGAAACTCAAGATGGCAACAGCAGAGCATGAAACCAAGCACAGGACTCCACAGGTCACAAACCCATGAAGCTGGAACTGAATGTATCTGAATAATGGCTTCAGTGCTCAATTTTACATTTGGACTATGCATGAGTTCAGATAAAGCACCCAGATCAAAATGTTATTTCTGTTCTAATTAAAATACCTCATCTCTGTGGCTGTACATTAGGACTTAAAACACTGGCCCATTGTTTTTGGACTGGAACCATGGCCGCTCAAAGTAGAGCAAAGCACGTGTTCGAGGCCTAGCCTCAAATGACTGTTTTTGACTAGCTTTGGTGAAAGTGTGAGGGAGTGGAGACATTATAGATAAAATATAGAAATCCCTAGAAAAAACGTTTAACTTTTAAGAAAGTAACTTAAGTTAATATATTTTATAGGAGATGAATTTTTTTTTTAAAGAAAGATTAGATATAGGAATTCTGCAGGATAACTTGGAGGCTGCGAGTCCTCTGTAAATGGAAATTATTTTTGGAAATGAGCCAAAAAATAATTTAGAAAGTAAGTTTCTGGAGCACATTTGGCATTTGGTAAACTAGGCTCTATTTGCCATGGTTATGAAATAAATTGTCAATTGTGTTTTATGATACAAAGAAAAAAATGGAGGGATTTTTAAGTGTTCTGCTGTCTTATTTCTGTTTAACCCAACCTAATAATTCTAGTCAATAAATGTGGTTCTAGTCTGTGTACTTGTCTGCATATTTGCAAAGACTCATTCTTAAGACAGGTGCTAGGCGAACCTAAAGCACACTCCTTGGAAAACATACTCATTCAGTGGCTAAAATTAACAAGTCAGGAAACGACAGATGTTGGCGGGGATGCGGAGAAAGGGGAACCCCCCTTACACTGTTGGTGGGAATGCAAGCTGGTGCAACCACTCTGGAAAACAGTATGGAGGTTCTTCAAAAAGTTAAAAAATAGAGCCATCCTATGACCCAGCAATTGCACTACTAGGTATTTATCCAAAGGATACAGAGTGATTTGAAGGGGCACATGCACCCTAATGTTTATAGCATCAATGTCCACAATAGCCAAACTGTGAAAAGAGCCAAGATGTCCATCGACAGATGAATGGATAAAGATGTGGTACACACACACACACACACACACACACACACACACACACACACACACAATGGAATATTATGCAGCCATCAAAAGGAATGAGATCTGGCCATTTGCAACGACATGGATGGAACTGGAGGGTGTTATGCTGAGTGAAATAAGTCAATCAGGGAAAGACATGTATCATATGACCTCACTGATATGAGGAATTCTTAATCTCAGGAAACAAACTGAGGGTTGCTGGAGTGGTGGGGGGTGGGAGGGATGGGGTGGCTGGGTGATAGACATTGGGGAGGGTATGTGCTATGGTGAGAGCTATGAATTGTGCAAGACTGTTGAATCATAGATCTGTACTTCTGAAACAAATAATGCAACATATGTTAAGAGAAAAGAAAAAGAAGAAGATAGCAGGAGGGGAAGAATGAAGGGGGGGAAATCAGAGGGGGAGACAAACCATGAGAGACAATGGACTCTGAAAAACAAACTGAGGGTTCTAGAGGGGAGGGGGGTGGGGGGATGGGTTAGTCTGGTGATGGGTATTAAAGAGGGCACATTCTGCATGGAGCACTGGGTGTTATATGCAAATAATGAATCATGGAACACTACATCAAAAACTAATGATGTAATGTATGGTGATTAACATAATAAAAAAAAGAAACAAAAAAAACATACTCATTCAGAAAGTTGAGACATTCCTTCTTCTGGATAGTCCAGATCTCCCCACTTGTATTTGCATCTTAATTGTTAAATGTAAACTCAAAGAATTGACGTCTTGTGTTCTCCGTACACATCTTTTAAATTTCTGAAAGGACAGAGAATCCTGAAAGTCAAATTCTTTAAGAAACCTATGGAGTTCCCACAACCTGCTAGACTCTGTACTGAGGACCGGGATTAGAATATAGAACAAAACTGACCCAGTCTCAGTCCTTACAGAGTCTATAGCTTGCTGGCAATAGCAGACACTTCATAATGGGTGTCTCTCATGGGTTGAAATGTGTCCCCCAAAAAGATATGAAGTCCTAATCCTGGTATCTGTGAATGCAAATTTTTTTGGAAATAGGTTCTACCGATGTAATAAAGTTAAGATGATGTCATGACGGTGGGCCCTGACCCAATAGGACTGGTATAGTTGAGAGAGAATGTCATAGAGGTAGAGATTATAGTGTCTAACGTCAGGAACACGTGGGGCTACCAGCAGCTGGAAGAGGCAAGGAGGGGAAGAAAGGGCCCTCCCCCTAGAAGCTTCTGAGGGAGCATGGCCCTGCCAACACCTTGACTTCAGATTTCTAGCCTCTAGAACTGCAAGAGAATAAACTTCTGTTTGGAGGCATCCAGTTGGTGATATTTTGTTATGACATCCCTAGGAAACTAATAGAGTGTAAACAGTCATCAGTTTTGTGGGGGTTTCTTTTTTGGGGGGGGGACAGAGTTTATGTAAGTAAACCTGTTGGATATTTTCTGCTGTTACCAGAAAGATTTAATTGCATGCAAAATATGTGACAAAGTGCTAGTATACTTAATATATAAAAAGCTCTAATAATTCAATAAGTAAAAAATAAATACCTTAAGCATTTGACAGTGGACCCAAAATCACTGCTGATTAAACAAATGCAAATTAAGATAACTTAAGTTTCTTTTCACCATCAGATTAGCAAAGATCTGCAAAGCCCAGAGTTGGTGATAATTTGGGAGAAAGAACGCTCTGTCACACTGTTGAAAGCAGAACAAGCTGATAAATTTATGCATGGCATTTTGTCAAATTTTATCAAAATTAAGAAGATATCTATTCTCCAACCCATCAAGTCCACATCCAAGAATTTATCCCGTAGAGATTATTGGACAAGTGTGCAAAGACTTCTAGGCAGAACCAGTTACCAGAGTTCTCTGTAGTGCAACCGCAAATTGGAAACAGCCTAAAAGTCCC